TTGAAAACATTTAAGTAATAGAAGGAATCTACACACACACAAAATGAATCAACAAGAGTCTACTTTCTAATGTGTTGAATGAAGAGACACTGTCTATGCTGGAAAATGCCCAAGCTATCTCTTTATTAAGGACCTTTCCTTTGTGTCCTGCTGCGGAGTCTGCTCTGAACAGGTTGACGTCTTGTCCTTAAAAATACCATCCTAATGTTGACTTCTGTCTTTGGATATGACTCGCAATGGACTGCAAAATAAGTATTACATGTGAATTCAAACTCAGAGCCTTGTCCAGGCAGTGAGGCTTTATGCTGTATGTCAGCCAAAGAAATTGTCTTTTTTTTTTTTTTTTTTTTTTTCAATTAGAAAGAACATTAGGTCAATCAGATAAAACCACATTGGGAGGATTTCCTCTTTATGGCGCTTGCCTCTTCAATTATCTATAATGAACTTCCTCACAGCATTGCAAAGCTTTTTATATGCAAACGAATCCTGTTTTGGGGCTGCCACAATCACTGCTTGCTAATGAACTTGAAACAAGTGTTATCGGAAAGGTTACAGCACCAGTGGTGGGGGGAACAGGGATAAGGCTAGACTAGAAAGACCAGCCTGCAGAGCTGGGATTGGCCTGCAGGTAACATAGTTTACTATCTTCAAGCCCCATCCTCCAGACTGCTTCAGAAGCTTTTCTTGTTTGACAGACATCAAGCAAAATGCCCACTCTTGGGAAACGGCTGCTCAGCTGCAGATAGGACTTTCCCATCTTCCTGTTCCCCACTGTGCCAAGGAATCCTTTCTCCCAACCCCATTGATGGAAAAAAAAAATAAAGAATGTTGCCAAGGTTAGTACTTATGCCAGAAGAGAGAAGGTCCAGGTCATGCTGGATGGGGACCTCAATCCCAAGTTATCACAGTTTCTTTCTGTAAACCAGAGCCAGGCACAGGGAACACCTGATTTCTACCCAGGCTTGCTGCAGAAGGCATCTGCCCCATCTCACACATTTTTCTTCATTGGCACAAACCAATGGCCTGTTGTGCATTTTGCATTGATACCTTGGCATAGTTTGCTGAAGTATTTGTCTGTGGTTGGAAGAGGCAGGTAAAAGGCAAGATTTGGAGGAATGTTAAAGCTAGGTAGCTTCAAAGATACATTTATGCACAATGTCGGCTGATGTGATTGCAAATGAACCCTCTTGCTCCCAATTTAATGTAGTCCATACCCGTTCTTCCTCTGCTTTTCTTACTCTTCATCTTTTTTTTAGATTATCCCTCGTTTAGATTATGCCAGGACTTCAAAAGACTCCTTACATCATCAAGTCTCATTCTCTTGTCAGGAAAAATGCTTCTCTGACACTTTAGCCATTGTGTTTCAGCATTAATAGTACCCTAGGGACTAGTCATCATGGGACAGGATAACAGCAAGAGCAGGGAGCGTTGACACAGGGTGTAGCTCCTCAAGTGTTCCTTGGGGTCAGATAGACTCTTTCCACACCAGTCGTGCCTTGTCCATGATGGGGCATATGGCAATGCCCATACACAGATATTCAGCTTCCTGGGGACTCATCATCTGTGATTACTTGGTGCATAGCACCAAAGTTCATGGCAATGCCCATACACAGATATTCAGTTTCCTGGGGACTCATCTGTGACTACTTGGTGCATAGCACCAAAGTTCAAAAAGAGCAATCACATGCATTAAACAAACCCGTGCAAGACAATACCACAAAGATTTGCTATCTCTAACCCAAATTCTGTCCAAGGAGGTGAACACGATGGCCCATGAAGCCTTAGCCCCTGATAGAGCATATTAAGCTAGGTCTTATTAATGCAGGTAAGTTGCTGTGGAACTCAAGCTGTTTTGCCTCCATCCAGTTCCAGTGACTGTCTCTGATATCCTTGTTTTGCCATTTTAGCCTGGGAATGGTCAATTCAAGTCTGCCAGCAGCTGTCAAGCTCTTAATGCTGTTAGCATTGCCACGTAAGTGCAAATGAGAAAACAGGTTGCCCAGAGCGTTGTTCAGTCTGGCATCCCCACCTGGACGGATGGACCCTCTTAGGGGGACCAAGAAAGACTTCCAGACTTCACAGCAGCTATACGCTGGATAGCTGCTGGATTTTCTTCCTGCCCCTGGCCATGGATCAGCTCACACCCTCCGTGTGATGATTGATGGTTCTTGTAATTCTATTTCTGGTTGCTGCAAGTGCAGATGTTACACGTCTAATCCATTTCTTTATCTTCCTAAGCTGTTTGCTTCTGTAAGATGTTTCCACCATCTGCTCTAACAAGCTCCCAGGCTCTCATAAGCCATAAATTCCACTTGCAAGCCTTTCAGTTCCTTTCCATGCTCTCTAGGTCTGGATCAGTTGTTTCTCTTCCTCCTATCCCTTGCCCATGCCTTCAGGTTAAGCTTTCACGTGTTTCAGCAATTTGTTGTCTTCGCTTGTACAGAATGGACCTGGCCAGGGGTCCTCATCAAACGCTTCCTTTGACATGGGGCATCACAAGCTGGAATGGTGTTGCTGTCTGGGCTAGACAGGGTAGCTATACTATCACGGTGCTCTGCAGAAAGCAGGCAGTGTGCCAAATACAGCATGGAGAAGAAAATGTGGGGTCAGGACTGCCCTTGGCATGTAGGAGTTGAAGACACTTCAAAGGGGGAACATCAGGTTTGGACAAGTGATTAAAGAAGTATCAGTTATCATTCTGAACTGATCCTTTTTGAACAGATTGCTCCAAGTATAGAAACAGGCTTATCCAGAAATTTCACTGTAATTTATTTCCCATCTGCTAGAGGGAGCTTGTAAGGGGGAGCTAAATCCATTTATACTTTCCTGTCCCTTCCTAAGCCAAATCACAGTCTTCTAAACATCGCAGACTCTGTGGCTTACAGAGTGCCTTGCTGAAGCCAGCCGGGGCTGTGCCTTTTGTACAGTGGGTGCATTTGTTTTTGAGGAGGCAAGAAGATATTCTTGGATTTTGGTTTTGGTTTATTCACTTGTATTGTGGCCCTCTCTGCTGACTTTCAATGGTCTCCTCCCTTCCCAGGACTGTCCACAGCTGCTGCAGGCCGAGAAGATCCTGGTGCCGGTAGAGGTGATCAAGCCGATCACGCTGAAGGCCAAGAACCTGCCCCAGCCGCAGTCGGGGCAGCGAGGCTATGAGTGCATCCTCAACATCCAGGGCAATGAGCAGCGGGTGCCTGCCTTGAGGTTCAACAGCTCCAGCGTGCAGTGCCAGAACACATCGGTGAGCAAGTCCCACTGCCTGGGGGATATGGGGAGACATGCAAAGGCCAAGGGGTACCTAGAGCACTGTCTTGGTGGGATTTGAGGTTGTGTTGCTGCTCTTTTGACATTACGTTTGTCTCATTCAAGCCATAGTCAGGGAAAGGAGGTAGTAGCTTGCAAACTATCTTTTTGCTCTTTGGATCTGGCTTGTAGCAGTGTACAGTGGTTGCTCCCACGCATGGATCCCATACTGGGATGTACTAGAGCAACTGAGCCATGATCCCTAGACCTTATTCTATTCCCTTGCAGAGCCACATCCTTGTGCTGTGGTTATAGCACGATGTTTCTGCAGCCTCTGGTGAGTGATGTGGCATATAACCCCACGTAAACATCATGACAGATGCAATGGATCCAAAGGAGGATGAGATGTTAAAGACTTGAGTCAAGTCTTCCCCCAGTTACTGACTCACTGCACAACTTTTGGCAGGTTCCTTTGCCCCCTCACACCTCCATTTTCCCATCTGGGAAGTGTAGTACTAGTAATCCTTTTCTCAGAGATTTTATGTGAATCACAGTGGTGTCATGATAGCAATGCCAGCATCCGGGGCAAACACTGGTATCTGCCAGGAGCTGAGCATTTTGCGGTGGTGGTGTCCCAGCATTGCTTCTCAGGAGGTTTCCATGAGACTCAGATCTCCCAGATGTTAATTTGAGTCATCCACATTGCTACTGTTATGAGATGATTTATTAGTCAAAGAGCTAATTACAGGCTTCAGCCACTTCACTGCTGCTCCACCACTCCATGCGGGGCAGCTCTTGTTAAAATCCATCACAACATATTCTGCTGCATTAAGCACTATGTTGAAGATTATAGGCAGTTTATACATTTTACAATCTGTTTCAAACAACTTCCCGACAACCCTCTCATATATGTTTCTTTGCCCCTTTCCCTCCCCTACTATTTTTCATTACTGGGTAGTGGCCTGTGAATGTCCAAGTTCAGGATTTCATAGAAATGGATGGTTTGAGAAATTAAGAAGGCATTAAATACTTTTTTTTTCCATTTTCTCTTACAACGGTGAAAGTCTGTAGCTTGAGCAGTATTATATGAATCTGAGCAGTGTGTCTGTGCATAAAATTGTAGCAGTGAAGAGAGCAGCCAGCCTTTAGAGTCACAAATTCTCTGAGATACGGAGGGATGAGCACAAGGTGTCTCAGAACTGTTTTAAATACTGTTGGGTTGGGAGGTGGCCTGACTTCCTTAATAGTCCTATAGATCTCAGTGTCCCAGTCTATGGTATGCAATAATTGAGCCTGGTTTGGGGATGCAGTGACGACTGTTCCCATGTCACCTGTGCTTTTGGACATGCACTAACTTTATGCCTCAGCCCTGCTCCAGAGATACCTCTCCAGCAGCCAAGAATACATCACCAGTTTGCTGATGGGGAGCCTGAGCACTGAAATGAAACTGGGTTGGCCTTAACATTTGTTTTGATGCAAGAATACTCAGGGCTATCCCTGCAGTGCAGGGTGACAGAGCTGAATATCAAGCAAATGCCAAGGCACGCCATGGCCTCGCTGCTGCATGGTGTCTTGTCTCCTTGGAAGGAGTTTTTTTGGGGGAACAAGCCTAATCTCTTCTCAGATGTTTTTACCTGGTTTATGTTTTTATTTCTTATTTTTCCAATAAATGGTATCAAGTAGATACCAAAAGAGAAGTGAGACAGACAAAACAAACAAGCGTTCAAAAAGGGAAAAAAAAAACAGAGAAGCCCTCACTCGTAGCAGGTGACAAAGGACTCAGACAATAAGGAAGGAGTTTAGTATATATATATTCATCACGATTATTTCCTTCTGTCAAAATTAGCATTCAGTCTGGAGTCAGTGTGATACAATGAGCCACAGAGTCTGCTGCAAGAGGTCACCTGGCATTAGAAACAGCTCTGTGAGCTTGTTTGCAAATTGAATTAGCCTCCTTTAACAGAGCTTTTTTTTTTTGCTCAGCAGAGTTGCTGCATGAGACACTGAATGTAGCACCTGCATTGCAGGCTTGGAGAAGGTCCAAAGGAGGGTGGGAGGATGTGTTATGATGGTATGTCCCCAAGAGATGCTACTCTGCCAGCAGATCTTTCTGTTGGTGGTGCATGCTAGACTAAGCAATAATTCTTGGCTTGCTTTTCTCCATAAGCCTCAAGGTCTAGCCCCCTCCTTCTCCATCTCCCCATCATACAGGTGGCACAGCTGAGCTCAACTTCGGGTCTTGCAGAATAACTTCTTGCAGAATGCAGGCATTTTTCTTCATTTACACAGTCTGGGATCAGAAAAATAGGGCCTTAGCTCTTGTTCTTGATTGCATCGTTTTATATGGGCATAGCTGAGTTCAGAACTAAGTCTCCTATCTTAAGCAGGAGTTTTTTACGTGTCTGCAAGTTCCGCTATAAGATGTTCTAAGGACACCCAGGCGGGACCAGCCTATCCAGCTATCTGTCAGTCATGTCACATCCATCACCGATGATGCTTAGGTGCTTGAGCCAGTCAATAGCCAGTTCTGTGTGTCTCCCTGGCTTTCCTGAAGATATTTCATTTGATAACATCAATAAATCACTGCAGGCAGCATGCTTCTGGACAATTATTGTCCTTGTCAAGTGGTTTGAGCCTCTCAACTCTGGGCTTCTTCCTCTACCACACCACCCAAGGCACGCAATTATCACTCAGAGAGACCCTGCCTGCCATTCTTTATTGCACTTAGGATAGCACTGCTGACAGTCTGGACATGGAGTGATAGGAGGAAATGAGGAGGAGAAGGAGTTGAGGAGGCCTATAAATAAACAAATTAATTAATAACGGAAAACTTCCGCAAGAATGGTTAGGACTACTGCTAAATCCATTAGATCAAACACGAACACCCCATGGAAAACACTGGGAGCCTCAACAGTTGCAAATGCTAAATGCCAGGGCAGCCAATGCAGCCAGCAAAGCTTGAGCATGAGGAACAGGGAGGGAGTTAAGAGGTTGCCCCTGTGTGCATTGCCATGGTCGTTGCCATGGTCATTGCCATTGCTAGCTTTGGTAATCCAGACATACATGCCCTCCTGATGGGAGCCTGTGTCTGGCCTCGGCACATACAAGTGGCACACACAAATTTCTAGTAGTGAGAACTCTGCTGATAATTTGCTCAAGTTCCTCATAGCTGTGAGACCCAGTGTGTTGTGAGACCTGGCGCAGCTGAGTCCTGTGTGACTTAGGGACAGGCAAAGCAAATGTGTTATTTTACTGACATTATTGCACTTGATTGAAAGTTCCCAGGAGTATCTCACTCTGCAGTGTAGCTCATGGAGAGGAGGGAGTGTGTAAAAGCAGAAAACACAGAAAAAAAAAAAGAACTACTATTCACACAGATGATGGGAAAGCACACTTTTGAGTGGTCAAGATGATACCCAGGAATAAGGGTCATACACACAGTTCTTAATTATTATGTCTCATTATTATTATTATTAATCTGCATTAAAGGAGCATAGAGAAACCCTAGTCACAGTTTGAGTTTCATTGCCCAAAGTGATACCAGGGCATAAAGATTCAGTCCCAGATCAGGGAAGCAAAGAGACCAAGGAGACAAGATAACTGTGGGTGAGGTTTCTGTCTCCTGTTTATAGATGGAGAGTTGATCCACAGGGGGATTAAAGCATTTACACAGTTTGTACAGTAGGTTGGTGACAAAGTCAGAGTTTATCCCCAGGCCCAAACCCTAATTGTAAAATTGTAATTGTAAAAGCAGTTCTTTGTGCTGCCAGGGAAAAGAGACTAACACCGAAATAATATTAAAGCACTGCTGGACTGCAGCTATTTTCCTGATATTTGAAATGTTAGAGGTACAAGGGGAAAAACATGATTTTAGTGCTCTTGGTTTATTGCTCTAATCGTGCCCAAGCCAAACTACCAAGGGACTTTACCTACCGATATAGACTCCTGGTAGCGTGTGCTGAGCATACACCACTGTGAGCCTGCATGCAACAAGGATGCTTGTGCAGCTGAGTTTTGCTAATGAAGGATGCTTGAAGTAACAATATATCCAGAAGAGCCCGGAGAAGTTTACAGCTTCAGGTTTTTACAGGTTGGAATTCACCCACAATTTTGCAGACTTAGGGGTCAGATTTACATCTTATGAATAGTCCCGCATGTGCTGGAGAAAACTGTGAAGAAATATATAGACATATCCCTAATGGTGTGAATGTTGCTTGCAGAAGTTACCAGAAAGCACTGCTGTTAATCCTGGAGATCAATATATCTTTTTTTTTTTTCCCTCCTCTGAAACAACCTATATCTTATTTTTAAAGCTGAACAAATCCCTTTCAAAGTCTCCTGTTGAGCTCAGAGGGCTTTGAACAGGGACCGTGATGGGCTGGTGGCCTCTGTGCATGCATCTCTGGCATGCAGCATTTACCTGCTACCATTTTGCAAACCTCTCTGTTCCCCTGCAATTTAGACCAGTCTCCATCTGAGCAGGACAAGCATGGCAATGCAAACACAATTGCTTGTATTCTGGAGCTCTTCCATGGGGATCATCCTTGTTTATCCCCTCACGTCCATTTCCAGCTCTGGATGGAGTTTGCTGAGCTAACAAGTCTAGTATGTGTTTGCCCCCTTAGCCTCTGGCAGATAAGTTCTGAAATCCCAGCTGGGTTTCTGGTGCTGTCGCTTCGATCCTTGTTGGGATTAGAGGCTCATGGGGACTCCATCTGCCTGCCTAGGCTCTGCTGACAGCTAAATCCCAGCACATACACACATGAGGATCTACTGAGGCAGAAAGTAACGTTTGTCAAGCACTTGATGACTCAACTCGTTGAGTTAAAGTTGACCCGGGCTTCGGGATATCTGTTCTTTCCTATTTCCAGTCAGCCTTTGCAAAATGCTGTGTAAGGCAGACATTAACAAAACTCCTGAGTGGCAGAAGATTAATTATCTTCTACTTCTCAGGTGCTCTCCAGCCTCCCCTGACTTGATCCCAGTTCTGCAAAGCTGTGTCGTGAAAAGCCAATGTTGTGAATCCAGGCGGCTCTGCATCATCTTGCCTCTTGCTGGCAGTGACACCAAGAAGTGTCATAAAAATGTTAATACTGAGTGAGATTGGCGGGTACAGCCCTGTCGCATGGGGCTCTGCTAACCTCTGACTGCTCTTTACTGCCATGGCAACCGCAAAGCAAATACCCATAAATACTTTACAACCAGATCGCAGTCACAACAACCTGTAGATTACTCGCTAATTGTATTTAGTTTGTCCAAAGAGAAATTGCTATCCAACCAGCACTCACTCTGCTGTAAAAGACAAATCATCATAGATGGCTTACTCTGCAATTATGTGGCAATTAGTGTTTGCAGAAGCTACCTCTAATGGCTCGGAGCCAGACATCTCTGCGGAGAGTCTCAGTGAGGGGGATCTCTTCTGTGGTCTCTAAGACATGCCCAGTCTGACCAGACGGCTTATTGATTTGAATTTAATCCCTTACTAGGAAAAATAAATAAATAAATAAATAAAACTCTTTTTCTTTAGAGTGGTTTCTGCCTTCAGCAACCGTCATTGAAATGCTTCTTCCCCTCTCCCGTCATGGGACTTTTCGACTTTTGGTGAAGAGCTGGGTGGAAGCCATTGATGGAAGAAGGCAACAGAATCTCATGGGCCAGTAGATGAATCTTGTGTGAACTACACTGTGATAACCCCAAATATGTCTGAAAAAATATATGCACTAAGTGTCATGTGTTGGAGTACTCTCGAGGTGAAGAGCTAGGAAGGGCCTCCAGAGATCAGCTCCCATTTCCTTCATTAAAGAGGATACTTGTACTGTGCATGAAAAAATATATTACAATGTATCTAACGCTTTACAAGATTTCCATGGATTTCTTGCTATATAATGTTGGAAACTGGATATCACCTACTCCAGCTGAAGCCTCTCTGGTTCTGACTAGATAAAAATAACTACCTCCTGGGGCTTACATATGTAACGAATTTGAGGTAGTGCATCTCCAAATAAGATTTGCTTGTTTTTTTGGCTGCAATATGGCACTGTTGATTCACAGTCTGTTTGTGATCTTCAGTAGTGCCCAGATCCTTTTTCTGCAGTACTGGCCAGCCACTCCAGCGGTTGTTTGCATTCATTACGCCTGCTGAAGAATACTTAGTACTTGTCTATATAGCATTTAATCTTGTGGATTTTGGCCCCATTCTGCAGTTTGGGCCCATTCTGGTTTATTTTGAATTCTTAACCATGTCTTTGGATATTCTTGCAGCCATTCCCAAAGCAGTGCCATTCACAAATGCTGTAAGCGTAGTCATCCAAGTCAGTCATGAAAATACAGAATAATACCAGACCCAGGACACAACTCCCTTTGAAACACATTGCCAATCCAAAAAAAAGAAAAAAAAAAAAAGAATTATGCTACTCATTTATTTATTTATTTATTTATTTATTTATTTTTGGCAGCTTATGCATATGCCTTATGGTTCTATATGGCTTCTTTTGGATTGTGTTTCCCCAATTTGTTTATGGGAATCTCCTGTAGGACAGTAGCAAATACTCTACTGAAATCAAGATAAATCACATCTACCTCCTCTCCTTTATCCATGAAACCATTAAGCCTGTCAAAGAAGGAAATTACATTGGGTTGACACAATTTGTTCTTGACAAATCTATGCTGGCTGATTTTTATCACCTTATCATCTTGCACGTGCTTATAAATTGATTGTTTAATAATTTGATGTACTTTATTTCTGGGAAGCCAAGTTGGACTGACATGTCTATAATTATAGCGGACCTCCATTTTCCCCTCTGTCTAAGGCTTTTCCCATGATATGTTCCACTCTTGTTTTGTGAGATCTCACTCAGTTTCCAAGAAATTTGGAAAGTAACACTAGTGTTGATCATCTTACATACACACCCAGCATCTACAGAACACACATATTAGGCAGAGTCGTATTTAGATGACACATCCACAATGAAACATATACATCTCAGAAATGCAATCAGGAGTGGACATTATACAGTTTAGAGCTGCACTTAGCAGCTGGAAGATGAGCCCCACCACATGCAAATATGCTTTAATGTCTGAATATTCACCTAATAGAGAGCACTCATAGGCTATTGAGAGAGGGATATGACTTGCTCCATTGAGAACAGCCTGTCTGAGAGCTTCCCTTGGCTTCTTGTAGCTAATGGCAGGTGACAGCTCCGTTTTTCTTGTTCAAAGCCTGTGCATCACCTTTTGCCCCCCTTGACCCTTCCTCATCTCTGAGCACAATGTTAGTTTGTGTATTTTTTTTTTTTCTCTCCCACTTCTAGTATTCATATGAAGGGATGGAGATTAACAGCCTGCCGGTGGAACTGACGGTTGTGTGGAACGGGAATTTCAACATTGACAACCCAGCACAGAACAAAGGTAAAGAATTATTTCAACTTGTCCTTGGAAGCGGTAACCTTAGCAACGGGCTGCATCGTTCCCTGTACTTAACAAAGCAGCCACCATCTCCCTGTGCTGTCTGGTGCATACTTGTTCTCTGCACTCTGCAAATTAATAATTTTTTTTTGTGCTTTTCTTTTTCCCCTCTCTTCTCTATGAGCACCTCTTGCTTGCATTTCCTTCCCTCTTTTCTCATGATCTTTGCTTCACTGCATATTTTTTGTGTCTTGTTTCCTTGTCTCTACCTTCTCCCGCTTTCCCCCTCTCTTTAGTTCTCCTGCAGTGATACTCTTTGAGCTGACATGCCAGGAGATTGGGCACTGTGTGCTTAGAGGCAATGTGATAATGAACAGGGGAAGGCAGAGGGGATAGAGAAAGGCTGCGGCTTGCCAGTGGGAAAAGGCTGGATGAAATGACCATGTCAAATGACTGAGACCCACCTCCTGTCCAGAGCAACACTCCACTTAATTACCATGCATGGCAAAAGATTGATATGCCTCTCACAGAGTGGTGATTGCTTGTCCAGCCATGACCCTGAGACAAGCATTTTTTCTGGAGATGGCAAAGTTTCTCCATCTCTTGCTTTATTTTCTCATTTTCTCCCTGTCTCTCTCCTTCTTGTGCTCTCAGTCTCCTCTCACCTCTCCTTGCAGTTTCTCACCCACCCTCAATCTGATGATTCCTGAGTAAGATTCCCACCATGGCATGCTGAAGGCGGAGAGCAATACAGGAGGCAGCTCCTCTGCCCATGGCATGAGCCCCTTCCCCTCCATCCTCCCCCTGCACCCTACTCCTGGTACTCCGTGAATAATTTACAGAACAGCAATGTGAGTAACTTCCCATGTCCCCAGAGGCAGGACAGTGATGGAGCTTCCCACTCACTCACCCTGTCTCTGTTCTCTTCTTCTTGAAGAACAAAGAATGGTCCTCACACATTCAGCACATAGATCAAGAGGTGACCAATTGTGTGGCCACAGTTGGCTACCCAACCCTGGCTCGGGTTAGAGTAGCTCCGAGAGGTCCTCCCCAAAACTGTGGCTCTTCAAGATTAAATTTGCCCTAGTCAATAAGACAGTCTTGAGACTCTTCTCCAGCCTTGAGGACAAGCAGCATGGCACAGCCCTTGCCCTTCACATGTTTTTGGGTTGTGTAAACTATCACTCTCCAAGACATTGATTAGGAAATAAATAGGAATGACCACAGGCTGTCCCAAATAAATAGCTTATATGAGACCATTGTGTTGTAGGGCAGGAAAAGCAGTGTGTAGCAGCACAGCATAGAACCACACCATGTGGTCCTATGGTCAGAGAATGGCTCCTGGGCTGCTTTATTTGCTAGCATAAACATAGTGTTTAAAAGTAAGTGCAAACCCCCGAGAGAGCTTTTGACAGTGTTTTTAAACAAACAGATTTTCTTCTCTGGAAAATAGGGAATGAGAAGCAGGATGCTTTATCTGAGAACAGCAGAAGCAGTAGCAGAAACAGTGTCCTTCAAAGTGCAGTTGTACCAAGGCACTCAAAGGTGAAATCTTCTGTCAATCTCCTCAAAAACCCTGAAGAAATAAGGAAGTCACTGCTTGTTAAGACAGAACCTGAGCAAGTAGGAAAGACTAAACTAAGCAAAACCCACCAAGGTGTTCGCAGAGATAGTCACCAAGACCACCACAAGCAGAGCATCTCAGCACATTTGGGGCAATGCTCTGTGCAACAGCAAACAGGAGACCTGCAGCCCGCTGTGATTGACAGTTGTTCTGCAAGCTTTTCTTGCTCCCAATTTTAAGATATAAATAGTTCCCAAGCCTTTTTGGATATTGATCAAAACTTTCTGAATCTGGGATGGAAAGAGGGGTACAAATATTAACAGACAGCTGGGGCTTTTCAGCACAAATGTCCAAGGCCTGTGAGATTTTGAATTGTGTGTACTAATAGTTGCAGATGAGACTTCAGCCACCTACAGACACAGCAGATGGAAACACAAAGCAAAAATCCTCCATCTCACAAAGAAAACTACTAACACCCACACAAAATATGAAAAAAAAAGGTGTAGAATGAAAGTCTGACTTCCACTGCTTTCAGCCTCAGGGAGGAGAATTTCACTATTAGTCCCCTGTGCAACCCGGGCCTAAGTTTACACATCTATAAAATAAGGATAAATAAGGAGATCTAAAGAGACTGCAAAACAGTTGAGCTTTATTTGGAAAAAGGCTTTGACTTCTTCTAATCACATATTAACAGCCCGAGACTGAGCTGAACATTAATCTTTGGTGTCTATTAGAGGAGGATCAACTTAGTACTTCAAAGTGTAAACCAGACTGATTTTGTGGAGCAGAAGAGAGAAAGGCTGATTGCAAATCCCCAGTTTCATCCTGATACTGATCTATTCTGGATGTATGATTATCTCTTAGGATTTCTGTTCAGAAAGGGAGAAACCTGAAAGACCTTACCTTAATACCAAGTTCTGGGTTGCTGAGCACCAGAAAAATTCCCTATCCTCAAGTTTAAGCTCTGGGTAGACCAAGTGTATCAATACCATTTTAAAATGGAGTTTTGATGCTCAGACTGCTTAAGGTGTCAGTAGACTTTGATCAGGCAGTTTATGAAAAAAAGGAAAAGACTGAGTCATCACCCAAGCATGTTGCCCCCCAGTCTCCTGATCACAGCATCACTAAGAGCAGCAGCCTTCCTTCTGCTGCCAGCTTTCCCAAATATCCTGCACACAGGCAGGGGTCTGAACCAGGACAGCTTGAACTCCTTTTATTTGGTCCTCTCCTGCCCTGGGGACATGCAGCCCAGCACAGGTTCCTCCCTTCGCCTTCTCCTCATTTCCACCCTTGGACATCCCACCATTCCCTTGCCTGTGTGCCTCTCTGAGGTCCTCTCTGTTTTCCTGTCCCCGCAGTGCACCTGTACAAGTGCGGGGCCATGCGTGACAGCTGTGGCCTGTGCCTGAAGGCTGACCCGGACTTCGAGTGCGGCTGGTGCGAGGGGCAGAGCCAGTGCACGCTGAAGCAGCACTGCCCAGCCCAGGACAGCCAGTGGTTGGAGCTGTCCAGCACCAAGGGCAAATGTACCAACCCCAAGATCACCCACGTAAGTCACCAATCTACAAGGAGCTCTGGTATTCCCTCTCATAAGGGACATAGTTTAGCAGGCGTGGTGGTCATGGTTTTACAGTTTGACTTGATTATCTTGAAGGTCTTTTCCAACCATATTGATTGTATAATTCTATACCCTGTTCTTGGTTAAGCTTTCCACTTTGTGTTTGGTGTGGTGAGGGCAGACGAAAACCGGACTCTGCTGATCAGGAATAGCCCTAAGCATCTTTGGGAATGGGAGTTCATTGTGGCCCTCAAAGTCGGGGGAACAACCAGAGGTATCTACAGCGAGTGATGTCAGAGAGTTTTCACCACACTCCACTAGGGCACAAATCAATGGTCCGAACCATCTGCTAGTATAATCTGAGAAAGCCTGGATCATCCATGCTGCCCAGATAGGGCTTGCAGATGTGACAAGAAGCCTTTCAGGAGACCAGGATCTTCTAAAGGAGCATGAAAAGGAGGAGATGAAGTGGAAACAGGATGCTTTGGGAGCCCTCAAATGGACTGAGTGAAAATAATTAAATGGATATTTTTTAAAGCAGTCAAAAGCACTAGACGGAAAGAACAAAGGCAAGGAGAGTGTGAGGGAAGGAAATCAGGCTTCTGGTCTAGAGTGATGTTTGCTGGTGTTTTGGGATGCCTTCATCATAAAGACGACAGCATTTCCAGAGTCACAGAGACATGCTTTGATCCAAACCCTGCGGCTAGACTTTTTATGAAGAGAAAGTCACTAATTCTCCTTCTGCTCCAGAAGGGACATACTTCTAAAACTGCTGGCATTTCCTCCAACAGCTCCCAAAACTCTAACAGATCATTGCAATATTCACTCATGAAATATTCCAACTGCCTAGTGCACTCATAAGTAGCTCTTTGGAAGTCTTTTTCTGAGCCATTAGCATGGAAGTAATCTCAAGTGACTGGATATATATTGCAGCTAATGGCACGTCTGGAGCGGTCGGTAAGAGCGTGCATATTCTGGCAAGGATCCAGGGAAATATCTGTAGAGGAAGGAGGAGAAACACTCCGTGTTTTCACACTTACACAGGCACATACATGCAACCCAGCATAGATATTCCCATAACCTGTAGTTATTTCCTAGCTCCCGAATTTATATCACCACTCAGTGGAATTAGGATTTAGGGACCTGCCCAGCTACAAAATGTTATTTAGGAATGACAATTTGAAGCATTAGGCTGGTATCAGGGGAGGGTGTGAATTGCTATGGGGTGTCATAGTATCCAAAAGAGAAGGTTCAGGCTTCCTGATGGCGTTCATTTCCCAGACCGTGCTTCCCTTTCTGGGGCTGGCAGGTCTCATTCCATCTCTTGATATGAAAACAGCTCAGCAATATCTTCTTTGTGTACACATCTTTGGGACCATGATTAGTTGAGGTTAAAAAAAATCTCCTGTACACTCTCTTGGACAACCTTTGGGTCTCCCATTTTAAGGAAATATGTGGATTTTGAAGGTAGCCTTTAAAAATTGAAAGTTGCGAAGTTGTGAGGGAAGGTGGATTTTCAGAGATTCTCTGCTAGTTTTACTCTGGGAAGCTCCTGATGACAATTTTAGAGCCATAGTGAAAGTTTTTGATAATCTTATGCCTGAGACAGAGAGAGAACCAGTTTGGCAAAATTTACAACTGAGTTTTTCTGAGTTCTGATGTGAATTTTTTATTTCAAACTTACTTCTAGTGCTAATGAATAAAATTTCTAGAAACTTTCTACAACTTTTTTTTTCTCTGTTCAGTGAAATAGCATTAGCTTTACCAGCAACGAGCACTTTCAAGGATAGGTGAATCATAATTAACCAGATGCCTGTTTTACTGGAAAGTTACCTTGCAAACATTTGATGGCAGGTTTTATACCACACAAACAGAACCATGTTATTTCTCTTATCTTTCTCTTTTTATTTTTATTAAATATTGCATTGTATTGGATACTGTGATATATTCTAGTCTTCTAATGTCATTCGAATAAAATGCTTTAGTTTTATCAGGGCAGAATTAGTTGACATAATCAAGTATTTCAAATCGGAAAAATATATTGGCCTGGAGCCTTCTGAAGGCATGTGGACTTTGGGACCTCAGGTATAACCAAGGTCCATCACTACAAGGGCCAGTTCAGTATGTGGGTTCCCCAGCTGGGCAGTTGGAGTGGATTGTGTTGCCGAGGTTGTTTGTATACGTCCAGGTTTTACAGGACCCAGGACAGGTCCAACTACCCATCTATGGTCATCTGTGTTTTTTAACTGTTAACTCTACAATTAAAGCAAAGACAAGCTCATTCAGGAAGTGGCTTATGGTTCCTAAAATAAAATATTCTCCAGAAGTGCCAGGTTCTCTCTCCATTTGTTGAAGATGGACCTTCTAAAAATTGGCCTTTCTTGGTTGCAAATAGCTGCCATTAGGCTCAACCTGGTGCCAGACCCAGCACTGGGACTTGGTCAAGAGCAGCCCGTGCTCACGCCAGTGCCTGGACTTTCCCTGCCAGCCAGGCGGCTATACAAGGGTCTAGCTGCCAACACTGGCCTGGAAGACTCTTGGCTGATGGGTCTGGATCTCAGACAGGGAATATCCCCTTTCTGTCACCTCTCTCTGTGGACTGAGCCTTGCCAATGCTGGCAGATGGCAGCCATGGCATTCCGAACGGGCAGCAGGGAATTCCCTTTGAAAGCCACATTCGAAGCCCCTTTCAACTAGCCAGTCATATGGCAAAGCATTTGGGCAGAGTAAATAATTGGAAGGGCAGAAATGAGATAATTACAGGCCTGCCCCATAATTCCCATGTTGTATTAATATCCAGGATACAGTTCCAAGACTAATTTCTACCTAGCTCTAAGCAAGGGTGACAGGGGACATGCAGAGGGCTTTCCCATTTACACCATCCCCCTCCATATGCCAGAAGCATTACATGGAGATGCACAGCTCTAGGGCAAGGCAGTGGAAGTATTCATTGTGTGTGTAATGTGGGTTGAGTGTGGCCTTCATATCAGACAGCCAAGGGCCAAGGGGTGAATTTCAATGTCTGAGTAGTGATTTAGCTCAACTACCCAACAGAGAGGCTGCTGAGTGAGACGCAGAGATTGACCCTTGCTAAGATTGGGTGAAGGCCACACTGGAGTGCAAACATCAAGACACCAACTGCCAGGACTACTGAGATAGACATCCAACTTCTACATACAGCTCAGCAGCTGCTAGCCCCAAAAATGACTCCCTCTGTTCTCCAATGTTGCCTTTTCCCTGGCGCAAGCTCCCCACTCAGGGCAGCTGAAGCTCTTTTGGAAATAAGTGTTAGCACATAGCAATTTGCTCCTGCTGTCTCAGACACTTACTCTCTTGTGTCTACTCTCTACCTAATCTGACACTTCATTTCTGTTGTGTCTCAGCTACTTTTTCAGATGAACATTTTCAGATGAGTTTGTGATGCATGACCAATCTCTCCCTCTAGAATAGATCAAAAGCTCCCTGTGCTTTGGGCTGGGAATTTAGGATTTTCAAGAGATTGGCTGAAGGCAATTATGTCCTTTTTGTGTTCTTGCTCCCATTCCTTCCCACTGTGTCCCACTGCTGCATTTCTGTGGCTCATGCCTATAAACTGGAGAGCTCAAGCACACTGCCAGGATACTTTTCTGCCACCCAGAAAACATCTGCTACTCATCTCTGGGTATTTTGAAGACATTTAAAGGAGAGGAGATTAAATCTGGGGCAGCATTTTAGATACTGTGTGATTTGACCATGTATCAAGCATAACTGATGTATTTATGAGAGAGCTGGACCCCACATTTTGAGCCTGAAGTAGGCTTGGTCAACGTTCACAATTCTGATGTCTCTCATGGTTGAAAAGTTCTCCTGATACTGCCTCTTCTTGCGTTGAGAAGACACTGATACCTTTACAGAAGTGTTTTGACGATTCTCCTTTTTCTTGGCTTTTTTTTTTATTTTTCCAGATCAATCCAGTGACAGGCCCTCGGGAAGGAGGGACCAAAGTGACCATCCGTGGGGAGAATCTGGGGCTGGAGTTCAGAGATATTGCATCTCATGTCCGAGTGGCTGGAGTGGAGTGCAGACCCTTGGTGGAGGGGTACATCCCAGCAGAGCAGTGAGTTGGTTGTGTGGCAGATAATGGGCCACAGAATACCTAATAATAATTATTGCCACCTGTAAGCTTCTTTTAGGAGTGGGTTTCCCCTACTCTGGTGCAAAAAGACATTCTTGACTCAGAGTGCAAGAACTGATCATCTCTTTGTTACTGTATTTGAACTTCATATTTAGCTGACCCTTACAGCATGTGTCCTGTGAAGAGTTTCAGGTCCCCTTTATGAGTTTCTCACATAACAGCCACCACAGGTGGTTTAAATTCCTGTCTATGGGTTAGCAGTCCTGAGAAGCAGCTAAACCCAGCACTAGGCATTCCTTAAGATATAGAGATATAGCAGGCTCAGACAAAAGATTTAAATTTGGTGGGCAAAAGGATGCCAGTGGCCAGACTTCAGTGCAGTATTATTCCGTGTATTTAAGTGAAAACATGTTGATTTGCACTAGCTAAGAATTTGTACCACTGAATGCAAGCAGCCACGGGTCACTGCACTACAAAGAACAACTTTGGTCCCAGATTTGATGGCAGAAGATGATGGCTGATGCCTTCAGTCCATTTCCAGCAATGTAAACTGTTGTCTGCTTCAATGTCATCTTGCCCAGATTGCCAAACCATCCCTATAACCATGTCTCTTGTTTGGGCTTTCTCCACAGGATAGTGTGTGAGATGGGGGAGGCCAAGCCCAGCCAGCACGCTGGCTTTGTGGAGATCTGTGTGACCGAGTGCAAGCCAGAATTCATGGCCCGGTCTTCGCAGTTCTACTATTTCATGGTAAGTTCTTACGAAAACATCTCATGGACTGAAGAGATACTTGGACCCTTGTTACCTGTCACTGTGTCTGTCCATCATCCTTGAACATGATCAGCCTCCAAGCACAACTCTGTCATCCTGAGCACACAAAGTTTTTCCTTCTATTTTTATTTTAAAAAATCTTGTTATGAGCAAAAAAATTCTTGCCTAATTAATGTTTTAACAGTTTAATAATAGTCCAGATTATTAGCCCTGTTACATAGAGTCCTGGTCCAAATTAGTAGAAAAATTCCTCATCATTAGTTAAAATTCTTCTACAGGAAAAAAATAAAGAAAACCTTTCTAGTATCTCACCTTTTTGCTAGTGTGATGCTTTCCCTGTCAGCATCTCTCCAGGCCCTATGGTTGAAGGCACTAATCTTCCTCCAGCAGAAGGTGGGGTTGTCACTGTGAATTGTCACCATCCTGAGGCCCTCACTGGGCTCAAGGCGATGCCCATGGTGGGGTTTCCTCCTCCCCAGTCACAAGTTCCCCGAGGTCCTTGTTTTCCAGGCAGGGACTGCCCAGGGGTAGCCCTTGGCCCTGTGGGGACTCCAGCGCTGAGCTCTGGCCATTGGGACAGGATGTCCTTGGCCAGAAGACCATGGTAACCACAGAAGTAACAACAGTTAGAACGGACAGAGACGTTGTGGTGGTGATAAGTCAGGGTAAAAACTAACCTTCTGCTAGTGATGACAGAAGATCATGTATATTTAGCCACACATAGCAACCATGGTGGTGGCAGTTGTTTCTGGAACACATTTGTGTTTCATTGGTGCTAAGTGGTCTTGTGGGTGCCCAGAGGAAGCACTGCTGCACATCAAGTTAGAGCAAGAGGGACTAGTTAATCATCCAGGCTGGGGGTGAGCTGTAGATCATGACTATGGGTCAGTAGCAGAGAGCTACAGGCCATTGGTTTGGATGTTCCGTGGTGAGAGAGCAAGCGCCAGCCAAGCCTGGACTTCTTTCAGCCTCGAAAGGGTGATGCTTGCACACATGGATGAAGATGGGATCTCACCGTGGTGCTCATGCATGCAAGGGTGGGCTCAGCAAAGCAGATGTCTGCCAGTGCTGTGGCTGCCACAGCCTAGCATCTTTTGGCTCATATCGCTCTGCTCTGCTCAGATCTCTCTTGAGCTCAGATACAGCCTCACACACAAGTCCAGGACATTCCTCTGAGCACACAGATTCAGAGCCTTCACACAGGCTTGCGGCCAAGAGTGGTGGGACGTGCA